CTTTGCTGATGTTTTTGGAGATTGTGGTGGTTCTCCTGAGGTAAGGGTGTCAAATATTCGATACATTATTTTAACAGATAAAACGTTCACTCTTTCCTCTAGTCAATCTTTTTTCGCTTTTTCTAAAATCCCGTTATTGTATTTATCACACTTTGCCTGTTGCCTCTGACATTATTTTTACTGCTACTTTTGAAGGGAAAGTTTCTTGATGTTGTTGAAATCATTTTCTTCTGGTTTTGTTTTAATGGGTTGCTGTCTTTACGGTCCTCTACATCAACGAAAAGTTTACATTTTGACATAGGGGAAAATTAGTATGTCTTACAAAAGCAAGTATTAGTTTTACAAAAACAAGTAGTGATACCACTATTGTGTTTAGACACGCGCCCCCTTTGTTTCAGCTTTTCTGTTTCTTTTTTCATCGTATATTACGCAGATCTTCCCATGATCTAATTTTAAAAGTGCAGTCGCTCACATTTTATCTACAGTTGCTTCCTAATGTACACATGCTCTTCAGATTCGAGTCTTCGTGTGTAATATATTCTCAAAGTTTCTTTTGAACTTGTTTTCTTGTGTTTAAACCTACATATATATGAGCTAAATAATATGTCACCCATATTTTAGCAAACCATTTGTGACCCGAGGTAGGCACCTATTTCAATAGGGATTAGCCGTAGGCATACAGTCAGTTTACAGGGTTTTTAATGCTAATACAAAATAAAATCTTTCTAAACATGTAACAGTAGCACCCAAAACAATTAAAAGCTCTACTTTATTAAATACATTTAAAACTATAAAATTGTACGATTGTGAGTGGAAGACAGGATAAGCGCTGCGGGGAATCTATTAAAAACTAGTCACTCTTACAATGAAAAACAAACAAATAAACAAAATAAACAAACAACCACAACTGTCAAAATAGTCCTCAGCGTTTTGGTGTCAAGTTAAACCAGTTTTAAAACAAATTATCTGTAATTTGTAACAGGACATCACTTGCACAGAAAAATCTACCTCAGAAGGAATATCCCCACACTTCTCTTCATGTATGTGTTTCAGTTACCTGTCTCCAGGTTAGGGTCGCACCCTAATAAGTATCGGCAAGCGGAGGCGGAGTCTGCTAAAAGTTTCTCCATAGGAATAAAACAGTGTTTTCCTCCTAAAGCGGTAAATAACTTTAAACCTCTACCAAACTACCAAAACTCAAGCGGAACATTTTCTGTGACCTACCACTCATATACAAGGTTATGGGACCCACATCTAGCCTTCACTGAAAAGTTAAAAAAGAGAAACAACACGGCTTAGACCAGGGAGTCACACAGCTCCAGGTTCACACAAGAGATCGACTAATTACCTGCACCTGCCCCAGCCCCGCCTCCCAGGGTCGGTTCCCAGACTAAGGTCACACCTCTCACACCTTTGTCAAGTTGCTTTCACGAATAGTGGAAGTGCAGGTCTTTGTTTAACTTTCTCCTCTTTCTTTTCTTTTCTTTTTTCAAATGTTGCAATTATTGACTTACATGTTCACATTTTTATTGGAACTGATCACAGAGGTAAAGTTCTTGAATATTATAAAACGTTGTGGCCGTTAAAATCTTCTTGCTTTTCCTTCTCGAGTCTCTGTTCTGATACAGAAATGTCAATTGAGATTAATGTTTAATTTAAATATTTCGAAAATTACTCAAACATTTTTAGTAGCTTAAAAAACAAATAAAAATAAAACTATTTCAGTAGTTTGAAGCATTTTTAACGCTTTTCCACCGTTTACAAACATTTAATTGTTTTTCAAAAGTTATCATGTAAATCCTAGCCACACATTTTCAGTGAACACAGATATTTAAACTTTAATTTGTATCACATTTTGTATACAATAATGATCTAAACTTTTGCAGATATGAGTTTCCATCGGCACCATTGCTCAGTATACAGCGACCTTTCGGATTAATGCATTTTTTTTTTATCTGTCTGCACACTTCAATATACACTTTTACTTTTAAATTAAGGTTCAACGTTCGTCCATAAACGCTTCCATGCGCCTTGTACAGGGCTGCTGCTCAATGCAATTTTTAAATTAGACTCACGATGTCGCTGTCCACCTTGCCTATCTTAAAATCCACACCTATTTGTCGAGGCAGAATGTGTTCTAATGTGCTGCAGTTGGTCATCGAAGGACACACAGACGTGGTTTTAGATTGTGCTGATTTTGGCTTAAATAATATTTGTGTCTTTGCTGTATTCCTGCGCATTGCAGAGGAAACATTTACATGTCAAGATGGTTAACGCGACATTTGGAATACACACCCTTGTCGTTGCTTTACTCTTCTTTTGTTTGTATTTTGTCAGCGGGGATATAAGCTACTCTTTTACAGAGGAAATGCGACACGGGACTGTGATCGGAAATATCGCCAAAGACCTCGGCATCGACGCAAATACACTATCTCTTCGAAAGGCTCGTATTGATACTGAAGGAAGCGACAAACGATTCTGTGAAATAAACCTCCGTAACGGAGATCTGATTGTTGCCGAAAGGATTGACAGAGAGGGCCTGTGTGGAGACAAAGCATCCTGCGTTTTAAAACAAGAACTCATGTTGGAGAATCCATTAGAACTGCAGCGAATCAGCCTACATGTCCAGGATATAAATGACAACTCCCCACAGTTTAATAAGAATTTGATCCATATAGATATTAGTGAATCTGCGTCAAAAGGTGCTCGTTTTCCAATAGAAGAAGCGCACGATGCCGACATAGGTAAAAATTCAGTTCAATCATACAACCTACAGACGAATGAAAATTTTTTCCTTGGAGTTGGAACCAATTCTGTAGAACTTGTCCTTAACAAAGAGCTCGATCGTGAAACATTACAAGAAATCAATCTACTTCTGACCGCTTTAGATGGTGGGTCCCCTCAAAGATCAGGCACCGTGGTCATTCACATTACTGTTTTGGACGCTAATGATAACGTGCCAGTGTTTAGCCAGGCCGTTTATAAAGCCAGTCTGTCAGAGAACTCTCCCATGGGTACTGTTGTGCTGACAGTAAAAGCAATTGATGCAGATGAAGGACTAAATGGAGAAGTTACATATGACTTTGGACACGTTCCAGAAGACGTTAAGTCAATATTTGCCATAGATTATAAAACAGGGGATATAAAATTGTCCGCTACAGTTGATTATGAAACAGTGAGATTGTTTGAGCTTCGCATAACTGCGAAAGATGGTTTAGGATTAACTTCCTATGCTAAAGTCATAATAGATGTTACTGATGTGAATGACAACCCCCCTGTAATATATATAAAGTCACTGTCGAACCCCATACCCGAACACTTGTCACCTGGTACAGAGGTGGGCATAATTAACGTGCAGGACAGAGATTCTGAGAATAACCGACAGGTCCGCTGCTCCATCCAGCAGGGTGTTCCCTTTAAGTTGGTGCCTTCTATTAAAAACTATTATTCTCTGGTAACAACAGGACAACTGGACCGCGAACTAGTGTCTGATTACAACATTACAATCACTGCCACTGACGAGGGCTCTCCACCTCTGTCGTCGACTAAAAGTGTTCAGTTATCTGTAGCTGACATCAACGACAACCCACCTGTGTTTGAGGAACAGTCGTACAGCGCATATGTGAGTGAGAATAACAAACCTGGCTCCACTTTATGTTCCGTTAGTGCTCGAGACCCCGACTGGAGACAGAACGGTACAGTGGTTTATTCTCTGTTAGCTGGTGAGGTGAACGGTGC